AAAAAGTAGCGGCTTATAGTCCGGAAGTATGACGATATGGTATATGAAAAAAAATCTAAATGCTCTCTGGCAGGGGCGGATCTACTGGGGTGGCAGTTGCCACCCCAAACGAGAGCCTCGCCACCCCTGTTACCACCCTAGCTAGCGACAATGAATTCAATAAATAGTTATGGCAAATCGGACATTAAGCGCATGATACTCTTTTTTCCGACAACATTAAATGCAACACAATGTAACCTGACACCCACTGCTAAATAGCAGGAAGTGCGAGAGAAGGACAGAGCGCGAGGCAGCAGCATTGATGGATAAATATTACAGGACTTGGACATTATGTGATTTATCGTAAGTCACACATGCGCCATTGCTGTCCATTGAGTCAGGAATATCGGTGGTCAGGAAACTACTACAATCACGCAAAGAATAAGAACAACGGACGCAATGTTTAGCACTTAATTCAACCATAGATAATGGTAATAAGGGCTTCAGATTTCATAGGTAAGGAAAACGTTTTAATTTAAAGAAAACATTGAACAAGTGAGCAGTGGGTCAGTTATACTAGCCTAACTGTTGCTGGCCTCGTATTAACTTTGATAGCCTTAGCATGTGCTGCGCAGTTCGGTGTGTTTTGGTTCCGTTAGCACTAAACAACCCAAGTCATCAGTAGAGCAGCTGTTTGAATAAGCTAATCAACCACCGCTGTGTTCAGGCGAAAACTTATTAATAATCACATTATAGACATTAAGCCTGACAACATAATGTAACAGACTGGATGTAATGTTTTAGTGGTTTTGCTTCTTTTTTGTGTGGGAAATGTTTGCTTTTTGGTTTTGATTCCCCTGATTGGTAGTCTCTGCTCTATCTGCTCTTTGAGCTGTTGTTTGTCGGTTGCCATGGTAACGGGTCGTGTGTAATACTGACATACAGAGCGAGAAATGGCGGAATAGAAGTTGTTCGAGCTATTTTTTCTTTATTTCTTTATCCATTTGAGTTTTGTTACTTTATTCTTAAATTTCGACCAATAGGCGACCAATAGGCGCTGTCCAGTCCAGTAATACGTATCAATTAGCAGGAGTATGAAAGACGTAAAAATAATTAACTATAGCTACTATATTAAGAAATTGTATTTAAGCCTTGGTGCTACATGAAGATCATTTTGAAACAATGCAAGTTAAAAACAATATTTCGTGTGTGTGTGTGTGTGTGTGTATATATATATATATATATATACTGCCACCCCTGAAAATATTTCTGCCCCCCTCTTGCCACCCCATAAATATTTTTCTAGATCCGCCCCTGGCAGGCTGCTTACTTACAATTGCTTATGTTCAATTATGCATTTTACCTCATAGAAAAACAGTCCAATTTTGCACATCATCATTCTTTCATCCTTGTCTACTCATAAAAAACGCTCTGCGAGAAAGCAAGAAGGTGGCACTGATAGTTCAGTTGGTTTAGTTAGCATGCTGTCTAACCTCATCAGTTAGCTAATCCCACTTGTTTGTGGATTTGTATGAAATTGGGTTAAATGTTAACCCAATTTAACATTTAACCCTTCTTTTGGCCCAGTATATTCTGGGCCAAAAGAAGGGTATCACTCCAGATTTACCCACAAAATCACTCATGGCTTGTTTTTTTAGGGGCTACCCCTCACAGAGCTTGCCCTTTGGCCTCTGAGACCAATGCTGTTCTTAACTTTATCTGTGAGATTAAAGGTGAACCAGCACATTGGCTGTCTGCAGCTCACTGCATCATCCCTCATGCTGTCAGTGGGCCTCTAAGAAAAGCCGATGGCCTCCCTGCATCCATCTGAAAGATTTATTACAGTGATTGATAGATTTGCATTGCTCTCTGGCCCCATTTTGTGGTCAATACATTTACTTTGTCTAGAAATACACTTACACAAGCTCCCAGCTATTTTTCTCCTGCTTCATTTGGGGGAGGAAAGTAATTTCAGGTTTAATTTGTATCTAACCAGGAGGTGGATCTGTACCGAGCAAACATCCAAGATAAACTGGGCCTGACCATCTGTTACAGGACTGATGACGAGGATGAGGCTGGGATCTACATTAGCGAGGTAAAGGTTCCAGGGTTGTGCTCAGATCTGCTTTAACTGTGCTTTGTCAAAAGGAATAATGTTCACTTTAACTCATAATTTAAACATGTTCCTCTAGATCGATCCAAACAGCATCGCTGCAAAGGATGGTAGAATTAGAGAAGGGGACAAAATCATACAGGTAAGAGTTACAAATACTAATGCTAGAAGCTTCAATTGGTTTGAATAGAACTAGACATGATTAGTGTTAAAAACAGAAAAACAGCCAATTTTTATGTTCATCCAGATCAATGGTGTTGAGATCCAAAACCGAGAGGATGCGGTGGCGTTGTTGACCACTGAGGGCAACCAGAACATCTCTCTGTTGGTGGCCCGACCAGAGATCCAGGTAATAAGCTTGCCAGGATATGTGTGGTATACTGGGTTTACAGGTTAGTACTGTAAACTCAGAGATTCACAGAAAAATTATCTGGTGATCGAAATTGGATGATTTTCATCTTGATCAATCCAGAAACTCAAAAATCTGCAAATCTTAGGTCAACTCATTAAATGCATTTGACCTAAGCATTGCCAGGTTGCAAAAGCACCAATACTCTTCAGTGTGTACGCCGTTACTGACGGAAGATAACTCACGGTGTTTTCACATCTGAGACTGTGGTAGATTCAGTTTCAATTAGGGCCAAAATTGCAACATTTGTAACATTTTCAGTTGGTGCAGTTTCACTTTCACACTGGACTGTGTCAAACAAACCAAGCCCTTTAAAAAACCTGATCCCACCACTCACCTGTGGTGAAGCTGAACCAAGAACCACAGAAGGAAACAACATGAAAACCCCTGAAGAAGACATTGACACAACTTTCTTCTTCACAAAATGTAAACAAAATTGGAGTGAGGACAATTTTGTTGTGGTTGTAGGATTTCTCTTTTGTCTGTCATTTCTCCTGCTAGCACTAGACACATTTGTTTTGGTTGTGCATAGCTTTAGTCTGCTTTCTGCTTTTGGAGCAGTCTCTGGTCCACTAGGGATTCACTTCAACCAAATCGAGACCTAGTTTTTAGGCGAACCAGAGATTGCTTTTTTGGTCCACTTCAGAATTCAATTGTGATTCACACCTCCTGAAGTAAACTGGGCTTGTTACCCGTTTTACAGTGATTGGTCATCCATGCACACAGTGTGAGATTACTGCTGCTTCTAAAGTATAGCTTACAGGAAGTGGAGAAAAAAAAGATTATTAATGTTGCGTCTTAAATCTGTATCTAAATCCACCATAAAATTCTGATTAAAATGAAAGTTTCTGAAGCTTTTAACCAATAACCAATACACTGTATAATGCTTTTTTGATGACACATAGGCCTTGAATATCAGAAGCATGTTCTCTGCTCCCTCAGTTTTCTTTTGTGTGTGTGTGTTGTTGTTTTTTTTTTTTACATTTCCACTGTTTCATGTGTGTGTCTACCGATGCGTCTCTCTTCTACTGCTTATGGCATCCCAGCTGGACGTGGGCTGGATGGATGATGATAGGAATGACTTCCTGGATGACCTCCACATGGACATGCTGGAGCAGCAACACCATCAGGCCATGCAGTTCACTGCCAGCGTGCTGGAGCAGGTACACACACACACGCGCACACACACACACACACACACACATACACACATACACACACACATATGTTCACAGCATGCTGAGCAGGAAGACACACAATCAATCTGAGTAATTAATGTTTGACTGGTTTCGGTTTTCTTGTTTTCATTGTTAACAGAAGGAGACTAGGAGGACATTGGGTTCATGGATAAAACTTTTTAATCTGTAACTAGTTTCTTGCAATATTTGTAGATAAAACATGGGACTTTACTTTTGTGCAGTGTATACATCTTTTCACAGAATTTCTACATTTTGTTTGCAGGAAATACTTAAAGCTCACAAAGTACTATGTGGATAAAGTACCTCACATAAAGGAGGAATAAAGCCCTAAAGTGTTAGCTACTACAACTAATTGTGAAAAAAAAAAAAAATTCTTCCTATATCTCTGAAAAAAGAGAGCATCAAACACAACAGCTAAATGTTTGTCAGTTTAGTATTCTGGAGCCCAGTGTGTATTAACACAACACCCTGGTAGAAAGACATCATCAATGATCTTTGTGAGGCAATTATAGGAGATCGACTCAAAAAGCCATCACTGAAGTCCATCATTCTAAAATAGGAAACATTGTTTAAAACTGAGAATGATTCAGTGGTTCTTAACCTGGGTTCGATCGAACCCCAGGGGTTAGATGAGTCGGTC